CTGATTTTATTTTTGACAAAAGACAAAATAAAGGGATTAATGATCAGATTAAAAGAATTTTCAAGACAAGCATTTATTTTATTGTAAATAGAGTAGATAGATAGAGTCAATACAATATCCGCTGAACTAATGAAATAGAGTGAACGTGCATGAAGAAAACAGAGAGAGGACAGAGAAGTGTCCTTCAGCTGCCCTCTGCTGTGACGCACGCACCCACCCAGCCGTTCATGCACGAACACACCCCTGCACCCTTCATTTAGTCTCAGACAATAGCTGCTGGAGTACTCCTTGTGTGCATATTATCGTAGATATGTAAACTACATAAATATACTATATGGATCTATCTTAATACGCACTCTCAAACAGGAAATTGTAAATGCATCAGCCTGTGTCTGTAAAAGGTGATCTCATCTGGAAATAAAGCTATCTGGAAGAGAAGACTCCAATGGACACATAGGGTCTCATCAACATAGTTGATGTTAATATGTAAATTAGTATTGCTCCTAGTGCAGTGCATTCTAAAATCTCCTACATTTAACGGCCATATTGGTTATGTGCAATTCAACCAAATTGATATCATACAAATGTAATGTTTGTTGCTTTTGTTTATTTTGTATAGAGACAAATAAATGAAAGTCAACACAAAGTTAATATGCCAATGCGCTCATCTTTTTATTGCACAACAATGTATCATCTTCTGATGCTTAAACAACAATGCCATTTACTGACAGACCAGCTTATTAGGAGAGACCAAGGTGTGGCTCCATGTTCTCAGAGGGGTGGACAGTCTTTTGGAAGTAGTTCAAATCAGCTCTGAGCCCTCACAGCTTACACAGCATTGGTCAGAATGGGCCAAAAATGGCTTAACTAACGACTTAATCTGGTCACTTTTCAAATCTGAGTGGATTTAGACTGAGAGCTGATTTGGGCCTTAAATGATAGACATCAACTTAGCCGATAGACAGAGGTCAGAAAGACTCAGTCGATGTCAAGCCTGAGATGGTGGCAGACTTTTATTATGCGTGTCTTTTTTCTGTGCTGTAGTCCACTTGGTGCTGGTATAGTCTGGCCCACTTCAGATGCTGCTGGTGCAGGCTGTGGAATGCTACTAAGTATGGAGATGTGCTAGTCTTTTATCGGAGCGTTTCAGTGTATTTATAAGTGGTGAGTGTCTAACAGTTTGCAGTTTGTGCCATTGTCTCTCGGCTTCATGTGGGATTCAAACCCCTAATGGCATTTTATTCTCCAATGGGACCAATGCTATAGAAGGAAAGGCACAGGAACACACACACACGCACACACAAACTCAAGCATACGAGAGACAGAGTCCTGAAGCAGAGAGGCTTAGTTAAGCTAAGCAGGCTACAGTAGCTACGACACAAAGATATAATTGACGAAATAAAATTATTGTACACAGCAATGTCTAGATTTGAAGGTCCCACTTAGAAATGTACACATAAATCTGCATAAATAAGAAAATACAAGCATGCACTCTGCTGTGAGTTGTCAGGGTAACTCGAACAGGAATTCCAGTTTGCTCAGAAAGATTTACTCAAATATTACTCTCAATGGCAAACACAGAGACAGTGTGCAATCAGCATCAGAGCAAACGACATGTGCAACATTTGGCTTCATGAAGAAACTGACATGTTCTCACCATAATGTTCAGTCTAAATCTGCATCACTCATATTATTACTTTATCATTTTGATGTTTGGCTTGTTGAGGCAAGCAAGTTAGTATACGTAAAGTCTAAACTGCTGAAACCACTAGAAGCCTTCAGAACTCATCTCCCGGTAGAAAATGTTTCTATACAGCAGCTTGTGGTACAAACACAACAATGTGCCCCACATGTCTGTGTATACTGTATTTACAGGACATGGAACAGCGCATATGATGTTGGAAGGCTTAAACCAATAGAAATGTGCAATTTGGTGTTTCCCAAAGCAGGGAAAATATATTCACTGACATTGTCAATTTAATTCACTAGTCAATATCTAATGTTATTACATATATATATATATATATATAAATATCTATATTGCAAGGTAATAAATAAAAACACTTATCTGCATTTTTACAGGCACATACATACCACAAAAATAGACTATGTGGAAACTATATACTAGGCACAAGGTATATACAGTCTATGTGCTATGGGCACATTGTATATATACAATATATATATATATATATATATATATATATATACATATACATATATATGTATATACAAAGACACAACACAATAATTTACCCTGATTTGCCTACATATCACGCCAAGGCAATCTGTACCTTTATATCTGGTACTTTGAGAAGTTTTAATCCTACTCTTCGTGCCAGTTAGTGGCAAACTTGCACCCAGGACTTCATAATCACTTACAACATGGTCCAAAAAAGATCAGTCACACTTAAAGCTCAGCCAGGAGGCGGAGGCAGCTTTGTATCATGCAAAATATGTTTATGGCAGTGAGCCAACACATGACACAAAACAGACTGAGGTTGAGGGCCTGCCTGTATCGGCCTATGGCAGAGCAGTAGCCTACAAATCATTTACATCATTTGAGTGAGTGGACGTGACTCACACAATAAAGTATTGAGTACAGTGAACAAAGATGTGCCTGATATTGCCTTAAACATTAGCTCTTGAACTCTCTCCATTGCTCTTACTGACTGTTGACAAGTCATATCAGCACAGTCCTCCTGATAGCAGCTTAATAGGGCAAACTCGGGGTTCAGAACAAAGGAAGGATTCAAACTGATTGCAAACATACAACAGCTATTAATTCATATACTCAGGTCATTCACAATCATATCGGCATTTGGCATGTACCTTTCCCATAGGAAAAAAGCAATATAGAGTTCTTGAGTTTTCGATGACTCAGGACACAGCACTGTGACCCACAAACAACAAAGAACAAGTTTAGTGCATGTTTTGTATGAAAATAAATGGTTCAGGAGCTGGGGTTAGCAAGCCATATACTTAAGCCCTTGGATAAAACAATCATCTTCACAACATTGAACAGCTCTCAGGGAAAAATTACAACAAAACCTAATTTACTATACCACCGCAGTGGATCCCCCATCCCTCTCGTGCCAATCCAATTCAAGGACAATATTGCAGCATGTTTTCTAAGTTGGTTTAAAAAAAAACATAAATAGCTTCATTCAACACTCTGCTGCTGCAATCCCAAATAGCTTTCGAACATGGTAGCAAACCTGAGTGATATGTCCATCTCATTCATTTAATTAATTCGTTCAAATACGAGCTATGTATCGAACCAAAAGTTTGTTTCACTTCAGCTGCCTGTACTTGGTCCCAATTTTACTGCTGGTTTAACCAGATCATGTTTTATTAAATACTGCTACCATTTTAGGAAAGCCACAACGTTTTCATCATAATTGTTATATTGAAGGTTGTAGTGCAACACAAAGTGCTTTAATTTTCCCAGTGCCTGATTTGGTCTGAGGAGTTCAATGTCTCTACAACTCATTCATGTTCCCTTATACTTTTATGCTTCCCTAAAAGATTATATACACACTCAACCTTTGCATCATCAAAGATAATGAAATCTCTTTATGTACATGGCAGTTTACTTCTGATTGGCTTTATAACTTCTACAATATCATACATTCAACAAGAAATATGAAACTTTTTCCCCATGCTCCACACAGCCGGTAGTTTTTGTGGTCACATTCATAGGAGTAGTAATCATGTAAGTGGAAGTTACTGGTTTGTTTGTACTTGATTAAATGTCAGCCTTTCATGAGCCATGCTGCCACGGCTCACAGTACTTGCTTTTTAAATGCACATATTATTGAATGTTTTGGTTCACAACATGACCAAAGGATTGTGAAACTTCATGTGAGGCCATATTAGCTGCAGGATTCATAGTTATTTTATCATTTTATGGTAAACATGAAAATTCAACATAAAAGTTGCCTGTACAACATGTAGGTTTTTGATATTTATAACATATCTATATCATAAATCTTTTTTCTATATAGGCAGGGTAGAGTATTGCAGACTTATATTGCATGTGCCATTCAATATAAACCAAGGCAAAAACAAGCAAATGTAGAGTATGGGCTGTAAATGCATTCCTCCGATAAAGCTCTGATTATTTACTGCCTACAGATAGTTCTCCCTCAACACCAGGGATTACAATCAGTGTGCTGAACAGAAGAGCGTTTGATGATGTTCATGGTCACTGTCAGACAAGTCACGTTCAATAAAGCAGTGTAGAGCACCCATTCTCTGAAAATTATAAAAGAAACTCACACAAAGACACCCACCAACATGTAGACAGACTCACAAACTAAATATATGGCTTCTAACTTTGAATAAAGGCAGTTAAATGAATGGCATTTTCTTCTAAGTTTCTTTTTTGTTGATACAGACACAACCAGACTTTGTGTTCAAGCTCACCTTTGGTTTGAATAGATACGATGAATACAACGCCTTTCATTCTTGCCTCTGCAATTATATACACTTCTATGTAAGATCGACCAGCGGTCTACAACGCGCACCCTTTAAAACAATGTGAAAAACGATTGTGGTTCTTTTGCTATTTTAGCTTTTGTATGAAAACAAACAGAAAATACTAAAACACTTATATTCATTGTCATTTGATCTCACGTCCCTGATTTTCAAAAATGTCCAGCTCCTGCTAGATTGCATTGTATGGATTCTACACAGTATGTTTCTTCTTCACAAGACAGCAATATACAGTAGGTGTTTGGAAGCAGTGTTAAGAGTGATACTAAGGTTCTGGCCCAGTTGATTGAACCAGTTCAACCTTAAGTTACAGTTCAGTTATATAGATTGATCCTATAGCAAAAATGTCAGACTTTCATTTTGCTTGTGAGGGCACCAACACAATGAATCTTCGTGTTGCATGACAAACTTTTCTTTGGTCACTTACTGACACAACAGCTGGATTGACCAAGAATTAACAAGGATTTTCTAAAAAAAGGCCTCTTTCCTGAACTTCACCAGGGTCACAAATTGGAAGACAGCCGGGATCTAGCAGAGTCTAGCTCTGGAAGGCTGACAACTGAATCTTTTTTGGGGACTCCAGAGTCTGCTACTGCCCCCGTCACAGTAGGTCCACTAGGGGGAGGCGTAGAGGCAAAGACCACCCTTTGCTGGGTGCCCCCTGACCGCCCCACACCTGAAGGCCCAGGCACAGGGTGGTAGGGCTGTGAGGGGCCAATGGAAGTGTTGGAGGTACGTGTGGAGGGAGGTGGGCTCGGTGCTGCAGCCTGTAGTGTTCCTTCTTGGGGGAGTGAAAGCTGAGAGGCAGAGAGAGCTCTACTGTCCTGGCTCAGGCTGCCTATGTGCAGGGAGTGGGTGCTTTTGTGAGACACTTGTCGCTGCTGCAACTGTGTGGGGCTGGGGACATGGTGCTGTACTAAGGACAACTGAGAGCCAGATGGTCCCACACTGGCCAAGTAGGGGAAAGTCCGACCAGTAGCTGCAAGAGGACTCTGGACTGGAGGACTGGAGATGGCAGAACCGAACGCCCCACCAAATGTCTGAGGGGGCTGAGCCTGGAGAGGGGACATGGACACCGGGCTGGCCAGATTCTGCATCACTTGGAAGCGCCGTACCATGCGAGGGGACTGCAGGTTCCCGAGGCCCCCCAAAGGATTGTGGGCCATCTGTGGGCAGAAGCTCATGGCCACGGCCTGCTGTAGGGTAGCAATAGCTGATGCGCCCTGTGACTGACCTGGGGGAGCAAACATCCCACCCATAGACGGAGTCATAGACATGGTCCGTGGACGCTGTAATTCTACCAGTTTCACCATCTCTCGGTCGTATTTCACAATCTCTTGAATCATCTCATTCTCCTGGTTATTGAATACTCCAGAATTGAGGTCATGCTGAACCTTGTGCATCAAAATTGAGTTCTTTTTTCCTGTGAATGACACAAAACATACAATCATTTATAACAAATTAATCAGTACTAGTACCAGTACAAGCCAACAAGAAATAACGTCTTCTCATCTAATGTTACAGTGAACTATGACTCTGTAAAGAACATTCAATAACATTCATGAGAGTAAATCTAATATTTAGGGCTGTGCACTTATTTGACCTGCAAAGGGTTAGGGCTAAAAATCATTTACATTTACCCACCTATACGGTCCAGACGATCTATGGCAACAGTTTCAAAGGCTCGCCTCATCATGGGATATTCTTCTAGAACCTCATTGAAGTTATCCACAGACAAAGAGTAGAGTCGACAGTAAGTCTCTGCTCGGACACTCGCCGTTCGCCTTCCCCGTGTTAATAAACAAATTTCTACGAAACAAGAGAGAGCTGTAAAACACTATCACAAGTGAATTATAAGGAATGTACAAAAAAGATTGTACCTCCAAAATAAGAGCCATCTGAGAGTTTCATTGCCAGGGTTCCTTTGGTAATGACATTACAAACTCCATGTTGAATGAAATACATTTTCTTCCCAATTGTGCCCTCTCTAATGATGTAGTCATGGGGTTGGAACACTTCAAAACGCAACTTGGTCAGCATAGCAGTCACAAAGTTTGGCTCTGCATTTGCAAACAGTGGCATAGATGCCACTAATTTGCGACAGTTAAAGTTAACAATTTCCTGAAATAAATAAAACAACCATTATTGACACAATTTTAGCTGACAATGTCTTTGAAGCTGCTAGTGTTGGGTTTTACCTCTCTGAGTGGCTCGCTCAGTTCACCCAGGATGCTCTCTTCATCAAACATCTTTCCCTGGTATCGGTGTTCATAGTAATCATGGATCTTCTGTCTGAAGTCAGCCGGTAGTTTGTGGAAGGACATGTATTGCTCCACTTGTTTGTACTATAAAATACCAATTAAAAAAATATATTTTACTTTTTAGAGACAATATTTAAAAAGCAATGACTCCACAAATGAAGCACAAAGTCTGACTTTTTTCAGAGAGCATTACATTGTCTTTAAATAGAGCTTGTACTATATATAATTATAATTAGAGCTGTGTCCTCTTTGAGGACATCTTTGAGGACATTAGAGCTATGGCAAAGTGTATTGGTCCCTAAACAGCCTCATGATTGACACACTATTGACAGACCAGAGAGGTCAGGAATAAAGTTGTGGAGACGTTTGAAGCATGGTTAGGGTTTACAAACATTTAAAAGAGTGGACATTTTACTTGCACTGTTTAACCCATCATCTGACAATAACTGCAAATATACCAAGACTCGACTGTTTTCCCACACCCACAGCTCCATGGACAACACTAATCACAGATGCACACACAGGGCCTATGGTTACATCAGCAGCTCACCTGGGGGAATTTGTAGATTACACAAATCTGACGGAGGATAAATCAAAACTCAGGGTTGAAATAAAGCCACACGGCTTTATTTCAACCCTGAGTGGATAGCACTCTCGCCTCTCAGCAAGAAAGTCCTGGGTTCGAATCCCGGCCGGACTAGGGCCTTTCTGAGTGGAATTTGCATGTTCTCCCCGTGTCTGCATAGGTTTCCTCCGGGTACTCCGGTTTCCCCTACCACTAAAAATATGTACAATAGGTCTGGCATGCGCCTCCTGTTCTGGCGACCCCGCTCCCATCTCTGTGTGGAGTGAGAGGACAAATGCCCAAAATTAACAATTGTAAACCGCTTTGTGACTCTGGTCTGTGAAAGGCGGTATATAAATAAAGCTTACGTACTTACTTACTTACTTACAATGTGGAAGAGAATGCTGTGGTTAGATGAGATGAATATTAAACTTCATAGTCCAAATGCAAAATGTTGTGTATGGCTCAAAACTAACACTGCTCTATTTCAAATATGGGGGTGGCAGCATCATGTTATGGGGCTGCTTTTCTTCAGCAAGGACAGTGAAGAGTGGCAGAGTTGATGGGAAGATGGATGGGAGAAAATTACAGTACGTTATTGGAAGACAAGCTGGGGATTCTAAATAGTATTAACTTGTGTATAATTACTTGTGCATTTTTGGTTACTTTTGCACTTTGCCAGAAACACCTTCACAAGCATGAGGCACTGCTAATGATGAGTCCTGATTTTTTTCTGCACTTTGTGCGCAGCTTTCTGCTTTGCATGAGAGCAAACACTGTGAATGCTTTGGGATTCCACCAGATTAGAAAGTTGGGTGGAAAGGGAAGTCTGGGACTCTTTTGTTACCACAGAGTCGTACACATTACCACAGCTTTTATGGAAAAAACAAAGCTTATAACTAATTAATTAATGACTCATCCCTTTGTATGTAAGGAAGTGTTTACAGGATGAGGTGTCTGACTCTGATGGACATCTTGAACGTCACTGCGTTCTGACACATGCAGAATAAGGTTAGCCTCCTGTGACAATGTCCAAGCCCACACGGCAGCTATGGGCATCTCATAGATGAGGCCGACCACTGACAGGTCAGAGCTGTATAACCCCTGGATAGTCACGCTATCAGTGCATATGCAGCTGGGCAATGTAATGCATATGTATTTGTTCTATTGTTGATGTTAAAATGCAGTGTGTCTCAATATTAAAACAATGAATTAAGTCACAGGTTTGCCCTCCAGTTCATTATACTCATGTAGAGACTCTGATGTAGCATAGCAGTAGACCATGCAACACTCATGGACATCACACATATAGAACAAAAGAGAGTTGTGAAATAGAGAATAAAGTACCCTTTAAGGTACAAAAATGATATGTATATATGATATGGCAGATTATTAGAGAGGGGTAAAAAGCAGTGAGCTGATGTTGATCCTGAGTCTGCGGGCACTGGAGGCAGCCATTGGTGCTTACGTCACCTTCAGGATGACATTGGCAGGACACACAGGTCTGCTGCCTCATCAATTCTGCTGCTGCCCAAGGGGACTTCACGGCACATAGTGTCTCGTTCTCTGTTTCCCACATCAGCCCCCCTCATACACCCAGGCCCCTGGCAATGTGGCTGTACCTGGCCCAGCACAAAAGTGTGCTCTGATTGGCCAATGAAAGCCAGCAGCTCTCCACACTCTCCAGTCGGCGAGACTCTGCTTGGATACAGAGCGACTACACTCCATACTACAGACAGACCACTGCTGCTGCTCCTTGTCACTTCTCTGTTTCCATCACATTTCCATCTCATGACATTTGCAGGAAGAAAGTTAAAGAAATGACCCAAAGGAAAATGTCATGGCAGTATGTCATAGGCATCTGACAGAAAGGAAAGAAATTGTGCTTGTAAGAAAATCCATATAATGACCATATAATTAAAACCCAAGCTTCATCTATGTTCCTCTCACCACCCATCGTATGTTTTACTGTACACTTTGTAAAAATCCTTCTATGAGTAGGCATTGCTAATGTAACAAAGACTTGGATCCAATGTGTTACTTGACAGACATGTCAAACCCCATCATCATCTTACCTTTTCCTGATATTGCCGTCTAGACGAGTCCAAGGACTGGATGAGGGCTGTCGCGTGCCCAATGAAAACAGCGTAGCACGTGGCTCCAACGATCATACTGAGCATTGTGAGCCAGATATCTGAAAGACTTTCAGGAGCCTGCCGACCATAACCAATGCACAGCATGTGACTCATGGCCTTAAACAGAGCGAAGGAGTAGAGCTCTGACCAGGTGTCGTTCTATAGAGCAAGACATACATAAGGAGAAATAAAGGGTTAATACGAGCTGGACAGAGGCGTGTTGTCTTCGGAAAGAGTAGGGTCACTAATGGCACTTATACAAATGAGAACTCCAGGGATGTGAACGCATCGCAAACTATGAGACACAGAAACTGACACAATCCTACTGAAAAATTATTAAAAGTATAAGAGGTGAAATTACTTCCATAAAATAAGCAACATGATAATCCTTTTATAAAGGAAAATGAGTCTTCCATGAATCTATCACAAAATGTTCATTCGTTTAACCTTCTTGACATGCAATGAATCATCAGTGAAGCCTCAGCACCAGACATCAGGCAGGGCAAGACACTGAAAACCCAGCTAAAGTTTTGATTGTAATACATTTTAAAGGCCCTTTAGAAACTTAAAATGTCAAAACTACCTGTTCATGTACATCTGGACTAAGGCTAAATGTGAAAACACAAGGAGAAACAGAAGAGTGAAACCGGTTGAATAATAGATGAATGATGAGCACTTAGAATCTGAAATAGCACTGGTAAACACACTGAATCCAGTCTTACATCTTCACAGCTCCCTCAAAAGACTTACATTTAGGAACCATCCATTCTTTGTTACTAATCCTAGACTGGACTGGCAATGTTTCGAACTTCAGGGTTTATATGTGTGTCTTTGCTATTTTTAATACAGAATGGACTATAAATGAATGTATTCCGTATGGAATGTCAATTATATGGATATAATTTGGTTTGGCTGTTTCCAAATATACCTGACCCTCTGTGACTCATTGCTGATTGAAAACTATTCAGCAAGATTGGTGTGCTTGTGAGAGGATGTTATTGCAGTGCTTTTAACTCAGTCTAAAAAAACACCTGCGTTCCTTTGGGATGGGTGTAACACCCGCACCATCCCGGTCTTTGCCTGGGAAACAAACACCACTAAATACTAGTGCCTTATACACTTGTATACATTAGAATTCAGTAGCATTCACTTTATTGATTATTAATACTGGATTACTTACTTCAGGACATTAAATACAAATGGTTTGTGTTTGTCAGAAGACCTATGACACTGTTTATCCAGATGAGAAGCATTGGGTAAATAAATGTAACATTGTGTGCAGTGATTACGGTCTAATCTTCTCTCACAGCTGAGCGACTCACACAGCAGGATGATAGGTGACGCAGTGTGTACAGTGGGTGCACAGCACAGGCAATTTAATTACACAGAGAAAACTATATAATATCTGTTAGTTTGCCCGTCTGTCTTTGTGACTAAAAATGGTATGTCACTTAGATAATTACTGTACAATTAATGCTATACTTGTTGTAAGAGCAACCTGTTTCCCCAAGGTATTGGCACTTCTACAGAGCCCCAATTACTGTTTGAGAGACTGTCATTGGAAGTTCTTGGGACGCCCTCCACTGCTCCTGCCTGTGGGCCCTGATGTATCAGGACCAGAGTAGGGGTGGTGATGAATGGCCAGACTGTACCATAAATGCTAATGTTGTGAACGCCTCAGTTTGGAAGTATAGTTCCTAGGGGCCTTAGGGCCTGTGCAGGGACATTCTCACAGTGGGGGACTGACAGCTCTGTCTTTGAATATGTTTATGCTCAAAACCTAATTTTTGTGGGTTTATGGCATGGTATGACACTTCATGAACAAAAAGGAAAGATGCGCTGTACCAGTTTGGTGTTCAGCTATGAGAATGTAATCTAGAAGTAGATAGATACAGATCCATGATAATAAATTAATTATAATGTACAATGGAAAACAGATGTTCACAAAAACATTTAAAACAGTTCTCACCTGGTTAAGGTTAGTTATTTTAGAAACATGTTTACTGGATCAATGCCACAGCTAAGTGCAATTTATTGAAAACAAACATATTTGAACCTGTGCCTCCCACTTGGGTGGGAGCTCTCCTGTGTAAAATGCTACACTGACAGACAGGCCCATAAACAAGCACCTTTTATCTCTGTGAGAAAGACATAGCAACAAAGAGCCAGCTGCCATGCCACAGTTCCCCTCCCATCCCTATGTTTCATCCACTTTTATCTTTTCTGTCAGCACCTCACCAGCCAGAGCATCTAGCCTTGTGATTGTGTGTCATTTGCTACGGTAAAACTAATGATTGATTTAGTTCTGTTTTACAGTTTATTGCAAGTTGTTTCTTTGGACATATACCAAAAGTCATACTATGTTTTACATATTAATTAAGACCTTGCAATTAAATATGTAATTGTTTAAACTGTCACATGCTAATGATTTGAGGCTGTGGTAATTGCTCTTTAATGACAAATAAAACATGCACATACACACCTCCATCTTGTTGAGGGACACCCAGCAATCGGAGGGAAAGTCTTGCAGCATTGGAACCAGGAACTGTAAACAGCCGTCCCAGTGACACAGCAGCAGCATCATAGCAATGAGGTTACAGATCCGCATCACGGCACTGGCCAGGTCATAGGTCATATGGAATATCTGAAGGACAAAGAGAAATTCAGAAACTCATGACACACTCACTGGCACCGTGCTCTGGATTATTTGACTAATCAGTTGCTCAGAGAAGTGGCCATCACACCTTAGTCAAAGTATACAGGAGTAGGGCATAACATTTGTTTGATTAAGTTTTATGACATACATCAATGTTTGGCTTAGTCATGAAGAGATAGTCGCTCACGCAAGCCCCAGGCCAACTCCACAACACAGACACAACCTCAGAAAGAGGCGCTGGCAGTGATAGACGGGCATTGTCGTAACTCTGAACAACTGGTAGTCTGTGTTGCCTGAGCGATCAATCACTCTGAGATACAGGACAGTGGCTCAGGCCAAGCACCACTCACCCTCTGCTATGAGTGGACTGAAAGTAAAAAGAAATATAATATTGTCATAAATATCGGAGAGTACACAAAATAATTGATTAAAAAGTTAATAGTGATTTTACATTGATTCCTTAGGCCTATCACAGGTCCATAATTCTCAGGGTCAATGGAATTTTAGGTTTTTGAGTTTTGTGTGTATGTGTATATTTGTGTATGTGTGTCCAGCCATTGATCTGTCCTCCAAAAGATTTGAAAACAGATTACATTTCATTCTTTCAGTTGTTATAGAGTAAATAGGCAGAATAAGTAAGAGAACAACAATCGAACATACCACAATAATATCTGCTATTAAAGTTGAGTCAAATCGGATTTAGATTTTACCAACAGAAATGCGGTAAATGTGGTAAAGTCCTGTGTAAAACTGTTTCATGTGTATTTTAGCTGTCATTTTCTGTATATGCCGAGTATTACCTTCCATCATGCAGCTCCCTGAATCTTTATGTATGTGTGTGTATTGCATCATATCGTCATAAATCCGATTATCCAAAGGTCAAGAGAGAAATGGAGCCCCCTTTGCACTGCACACCAATTCAAAAGGCACATGTCTGACAATACATGGGCATCAGGAGTCGCCTCGCTAAATCTCATGTCTCCGTCAAGAACATCGTCCAACAAACCAATCTGCTTATTACTATACAAAACAGGTAAAGCACCTTCCAAAGCACCCCAAAGATATGTGTAGAAACAGGTTATGGACAAATAACAATGTTGGAAACTTGCTTCATACCTAAAAAGTGCATTAACTCAATCTGGCAACGCAAATCCTTCACCCATTACTGTTTAATCCCTGTTCTTTTCTCCTCATAAAAGTCATAGGTTTAATGTATGTCTGTACTAGTTACTATTCGTTTTACATTGAAGAATGAAAAGTATGGTTTGTTTATGTGAGATTTATACAGTGCCTTGCAAAAGTATTCGGCCCCCTTGAACCTTTCATCATTTCGCCACATTTCAGGCTTCAAACATAAAGATATAAAAATTTAATTTTTTGTCATGAATCAACAACAAGTGGGACACAATCGTGAAGTGGAACGAAATTTATTGGATAATTTAAACTTTTTTAACAGATAAAAAACTCAAACTCACTCCAGAAGTTCAGTGAGGATCTTTGAATGATCCAATGTTGTCCTAAATGACTGATGATGATAAATAGAATGCACCTGTGTGTAATCAAGTCTCCGTATAAATGCACCTGCTCTTTGATAGTCTCAGGGTTCTGTTTAAAGCGCAGAGAGAACCATGAAGACAAAGGAACACACCAGGCAGGTCCGAGATACTGTTGTGGAGAAGTTTAAAGCCGGATTTGGATACAAAAAGATTTCCCAAGCTTTAAACATCTCAAGGAGCACTGTGCAAGCAATTATATTGAAATGGAAGGAGTATCAGACCACTGCAAATCTACCAAGACCCGGCCGTCCCTCCAAACTTTCATCTCAAACAAGGAGAAGACCGATCAGAGATGCAGCCAAGAGGCCCATGATCACTCTGGATGAACTGCAGATAACTACAGCTGAGGTGGGAGAGTCTGTCCATAGGACAACAATCAGTCGTGCACTGCACAAATCTGGCCTTTCTTCTTAGTGGCAAGAAGAAAGCCATTTCTCAACGAAATCCATAAAAAGTCTCGTTTAAAGTTTGCCACAAGCCACCTGGGAGACACACCAAACATGTGGAAGAAGGTGCTCTGGTCAGATGAAACCAAAGTCGAACTTTTTGGCCACAATGCAAAACGATATGTTTGGCGTAAAAGCAACACAGCTCATCACCCTGAACACACCATCCCCACTGTCAAACATGGTGGTGGCAGCATCATGGTTTGGGCCTGCTTTTCTTCAGCAGGGACAGGGAAGATGGCTAAAATTGATGGGAAGATGGATGGAGCCAAATACAGGACCATTCTGGAAGAAAACCTGTTGGAGTCTGCAAAAGACCTGAGACTGGGACGGAGATTTATCTTCCAACAGGACAATGATCCAAAACATAAAGCCAAATCTACAATGGAATGGTTCACAAATAGACGTATCCAGGTGTTAGAATGGCCAAGTCAAAGTCCAGACCTGAATCCAATCGAGAATCTGTGGAAAGAGCTGAAGACTGCTGTTCACAAACACTCTCCATTCAACCTCACTGAGCTCGAGCTGTTTTGCAAGGAAGAATGGGAAAGAATTCCAGTCTCTCGATGTGCAAAACTGATAGAGACATACCCCAAGCGACTTGCAGCTAAAGGTGGCGCTACAAAGTATTAGCACAAAGGGGCCGAATAATATTACACGCCCCACTTTTCAGTTTTTTATTTGTTAAAAAAGTTTAAATTATCCAATAAATTTCGTTCCACTTCACGATTGTGTCCCACTTGTTGTTGATTCTTGACAAAGAATATTTTTTTTATATCTTTATGTTTGAAGCCTGAAATGTGGCGAAATGTTGAAAGGTTCAAGGGGGCCGAATACTTTCGCAAGACACTGTAAGTCGTATTTCTCTGTACTATGCAAATTGAAGACTAAACTGTGTCATTAACTTCATACACAAACAGGAACCAATCTTCTAAAACTTCTTTATCTTCTACTTGAGCATTACACACATGTTTGTGGAGTACCCAATTGTGCTCTTGTCCCTGCTCTTCTAATGCCGGAAGCAGCAAGTGAAGACATAAATCCTGGACAGGCAGCTGGAGGAGTGTGGCCTTGGGTTGATCCAGAGCCAATGCCAACAGATTGTACACAATAGTGAGCATTTGTCTCTGTCCAGACTGTCTGTTACTTGTGTCAAAGAAGTGCAAATGAGGCCATAAAACCATAACCAAACCATCACGTGCAAATACATTAGTCATGCAGAATATGAGAATATATTGCGGACGATGCTTCTTAATACAGTATGTAAAATAAAGTTATTATTATACAACTGCAGTCAGATTATATTAGATTAATCTTCATTGCCTCTTGGCAGAGAATGTGTCTTGGACAAACAATGGGAAGAATGAGGTGACTGAAGCATAATTAGTGGAGCCACAACAGAGAAAAAATGACCGGATGGAGCAAGATACACTCACCTCTTCCCATTGGTGTATGTAGCGTATCAATCTGGAGAGCCGCAACAGCCTTAGAAGACTTAGGATCTTAGTAAATCGGACAATCCTCAATGCTCTGGCAGTCTTGTACACCTCTGAATCGATTCCTTTCTCTACAATGAGGAAAATGTAATCCACTGGGATAGAGGAGATAAAGTCAACAATGAACCAAGTTTTTAAATATTTATTTTTTATAGTTTCAGGATCTAATATAATGTCTGAGTTGTCCTCGATGATGATCCCTGTGCGAAAGTTGAGGACCAGGTCCATGAGAAAGAAAGTGTCTGACACGACATTGAAGATGATCCAAGGAGTGGTGGTCTCTTCCTTGAAGAAGGTGATGCCCACTGGGATGACGATCAGGTTTCCCACCATAAACAGCAGCATCGTGAAATCCCAGTAGAACCTGAAAGAAGAGAAAATGAGGTGCTACAATCTGTCCAGTTTGGAAACATGGCCATTAGTCATTTCTGTGTGAAAAATTGAATGGACCTTAAAGGCTCCATATGTATTTAAAATTGAATACCGTCATTATAACTTTAGAGAGCATAATGGACAGTATACGGGAGAAAAAAAGGTGTTTTTTGTGTTCTTGTTTTTTTCCAACTGTTGTCACCATGCCCCAGAACATTGTATGGAATTAATAAATGATGTAATATAAAGTGTACAAGCACTAAATCAATGCATTATTATCATCATTATTATTAATTAGAATTGGCATGGTTTAAAACATGGTTGGAATTAAACAAAATGAAATGTTCAAGTTAGTTTCCAAACGGAAAGTAGAATGATCTGGTGTGTTTTCTGTCCATGTATGTTCCTGTATGTTTGCTCATCAAAACCTAACTAATCAATCCTCATTTGAGTATTTTATTTAGGTTGCCAGTTCCTATGTTGACATACATGGTTTTGTTGTTGTGACTATTTAACAGTTCGCTTTCCACCAACAAGAAAAATATCTTCAAGAAATGATTATAAATGTTGGATCTTATATTGACGCATCGGAGTTCATGCTTGAATACATAAACTCTTTGTATATTTCCAGAGTGTACCAGAAATGCTATAGTTTTGTATTATGATGTTATTATTAGTAGAAGTCTAAAAAAGAAAATACACTAAATAATTGAAGTGCTGTGTGTGTCGCAATTGAAGGAGTATCACAGTTTGAGAAATGCTGGTCCAATGTTCTGTGCTAAAACCTAAAGCTCCAGGCTCCAGTTGCCCCAAGACTTTCTACAAGATGAGGCTTTTGTGTGCAATGTGTCTGTTGTGTAGAGATGTGCAGCAGATAATGATGTTTAAATCAAGAATCTCTGCAGGACAGGTGCAGCGCTGAGTCACTACCGCTGCTATGACTTGTTCAACATGCCCTCTAACTTTGCACTGCTCAAGGTGTGCGTATAATCACCGACTGTTTTCACTCTGATCTATTTCTATATCAGACATACAGTAAACTGGATACATGATCAAATATCATTATTGAATTTCAATTTTATTTCTATCTTAGATATAAAGCCGTATTGCATCTTACTGGTTTAATAGTTTAAATTATTAATAGTTTAATCCCCTTTTATGTCTGTGTTTTAATTAACTTCAAGAAGTACAACAACATGTGTTCTCATACGTGAGTGAGCTTCTATCTCCAGCAGTGTTGGGCGTAACTTAGTTACAAATACTTTGTTAATACCTATGGGTACATTGTTATACCCCTGGTATAATGCAAGTGTTTGTGTGTGTGTGTGTGTGTGTATGTGTGTGTATATATATTATATATTATATATATATTATATATATATATTATATATATACATATATATTTATAATTATATATACATATATATATATATATACATATATATATATATATATATATATATACATGATTCATTTAGTTTACACTTCTACAAATACAAATGTAAAATAATCACTTATGTTTAATGATAATAATAATGAATTAGCTACTTTTTCATTTTACTTTTCCAATATTGATCTTTAAGCTTGAGTTGTATTTAGACAGAAGAGGAGTTCTCTGAGCTCTGAGACATGCCACCTTCAGAAATGTAAATTGTGGGGCTAAAGGGATGGGGAACGTGTTCACGAAGCCCCCTTATAGTTATACTTTAACCAGAGGAAGACCGTAGTGGACTTCCAATGATGAAGTTCTCAAAAGTGCTAGAATGTCACCTGAGCTGTAACTGCTGTAGATAATGGTTCGCCGTTGTCGGATGTAAATGGACCAAACACACTGAGTGCATCTGGAGCTGTCCTTGGTGCTGAATCTACGCAGCCTGAAACCGTCACTAATTTAGCTCTTTTTGATGCACGCAATCTCAATGCGGTAATACGTTTAACACATATATATATTTGTGATTGCCTTTCTAAATAATTTCTTTAGATGACAAACGTTAGACTGAGTGACTACAATGTGATGGAACAACATAGAGCTGGCCGAACACTGACAGCGCAGGGCACGGAGAGCCGTGTGCGGGTTGAGCATGCCTGAGGTTTTCGCACACTTGGCTCAAGGTGACATTCCGGTGCTGCCGCGCACACGTTTAGCCTACATACAACCGCGCCTGTGCTGGCAAAGAGACGTGCTATTGTGTCGCTTTTGTGGAACACGAAAGAACTAGTGTTATGAATGCTAATCTGTTGAAGATGTTACGAGACATTTGTAGCAGGCCAGACCTGGACATCCAAAACATAGCCTACTATTGTAGCCTATTGGGGAAGCACATGACCACCTTGAAAGGACACTTTTTGAAAACTATTTGTGACAACAGGTTGTTGAAGGAATTCAAAGAATAAAGATTGATATCAACACTGTGGTTAAATGTGTCAACAGGTCATCGGCGACCAATTAGTCGTTTTACAGCCTTAAGTTGGTGTTCTTACCTGAAGTCACTGTACGGGTGGATAATCCAGTTCCCCGCAGATTTGACCCTCTCCTGCTCCCTCTCAACCGCTTTTTGGCTTCCATACATCCGCAGGGAGAATTTATTGACTCCAGGCTGTAACATGCTGCTGAATTGTCGCTGCATGAAGCTGGCTTGACTACCCCTTGGTTCGGCATCTTCGGCAGGCACAATTTGAGGGCCATCTTCCGTTTTCTGGAAAGTAACAGAGGTCCGATGCTGCTGCGTCTGTAGGCAGGAGGCTTTCCTGCTCGGCGCGTTAGAGAAGGACACCTTGGAGTCCTTCTTCTCAGTTCCATGGCCCCCAGTCAAGGAGCCGCCTGGTGTGATAGAGCCGTCCATGCTCGCAGTGGTGGAGTTACAGGCAGCTCGCGTAGCACTGCCGGCGTCCTCGGCCCTCGCCCTCTCCTGTTTGGAGATGATCGAGCGCAGGCTGCCAGTGCCAGAGTCCCTCCTGCATTCTCCGTTTTTGGTGCACTTCATGCTGGAAATGGGCGCCAACCCGTCTCCCGTTGTGGCGCTCATAGGCTCGACCGCTGCTGCGGACTGCGAGGCCTCCGGACCTGCTTGAATGCGCTCGGCAGCATCACCCGAACGGGGCGTGTGGCTCTCCTTGGATCTGGAGAAAGCAATGGGCCGTTGGGCGGCAGTGGCACTCTCTGCGTGCGTAAGGCTGGGCTCCTTGTTAGAGTTTCTCCTGGAAGCAGAGGACGCGGCTCCCCCTCCTGGTCCAGGCGTAAAGTTCTTCATCCTGATGCCTCCGCTCCCTGATCGCTTTGATCGAGGCTCAAACTTGCTCACCTCATCTGCGCCGACTGTCACGTCCATCACCGCACACTTCTGACTGCTGTTGCTTCTTGTGCATTTGGGCGAACTGATGTAACCGCCCACCCTTTTGTTTTTCATAGCAACAGCAGAAAAAAACAGAAACTAAACCGTAGTCTTTTCCGTGGCACTTTTTTCATATAAATAATGTCTAATACATAGGAGAAGAGCTATGTATTAGAACCGTTTGCAACATAGATGCGGGGCAAAATGGAATCATCACCAACTAAGGAAGGAGACGTCACTTCTTTAAACTGTGCCTTATACTCTGGGTGTTGTGAGTGTTTCTGGAGGATTCAGATATCACAAACACAGCTCCGGTGGAAATAACCCGCGTCAGACTGATCCATAATTGTTCAAAACGCCACCAACATTATTGCATATTGTTAGGGTTGCAGAATTGTTTTACACCCGGGAAAATGTCTTGAGGAGTTCATCTCCACGTGTGAATGTACGCTCACATGACGTTATAGGACCAATATAGGACCAAAGGTGTTTTCAATGACAATCTTGAGTTCTTTGGCGACGCTCAGTGCAGTGGCGGAGCCAGACTTTTAAACAGAGGGTGGCCAGGGGGTGGCAAGGGTTTTTTTGAGGGGTCCACATTTATACTATTCCGAAATTTTATTTAGCACAAAAACTGGCTAAACTATACATTTTAATCTTAATCTTGTCATTATTTTTAATATAAAGTGAACTGAGAGCACACTTGGAAACTACAAAGCAAAAAAGTGTATTTAAATAGTAGTCTGAACAAAAAAGTGCAAAATAACATCATTCAAACATTGCATTACATTTTTCTTTTAACAAATTTAGCAAATTCCTACGGTTCTGGTGTAAAGCAGCAAAGATGTTGACAAACTCATCCATATTCAGCCCTGAGCCTCCTTTACCCCACACTGAGGATACCAAGATGACTCAATCATCTGCCATGGTCGTTATGAGATGGTTTTTAATACGTTTTAGGACAGAGAAACTTATTTCACAAGACGCAGTACTGACAGGTATTAAAAAGATCTTTGCAAGCCTCAAAAGCTCATGAAACACTTTCCAAACGTTCCAAAAGGACAAGGAAGTCCAATAGGGACTCTCTAATCCATTTTTTCCTCCCAAGAAGCCGCCTAGTTTGACCTCATGCTTAAGGTCCTCTATATCTGGCTTAAAGGTTCTGCCAAATAAAAACAGGGGCTCTTCTATCAAAATCTTTTGGGGTCAAGCGACTGCACATCATCCATAATCTTAGCTATTTTGTTTCTTTTTTTGTGTGTGAAAAAACGCCTTCTGCCAATAGACAATCCTGCACCTGTCTGCGACACCCTCTCATTCTCTGAAACTCAATTATATAAGCTATATTTTAATACAACACAACAAATTCCTCATCATCTCAAAACATACTGCCTCCGAGTCTGACCTTCAGGCTGATCTACAGCCCTTTTCCTAACAAAAAAAGGCCTGTAGGCAATGTTTCCTCCTTTTCTTTTAATGTTTACACTAAAGGGAAGAGGGCGATGATATACGATGGGCATATAATAATGGAAAATAAACACGCATGCACCCCGCACGCACACAGGCACGCACACACACCCAGGCACGCACACACGCGCACAGGCACGCAGACCCACACTGGCACACACAGGCACGCACACACACGCAGACACAATGACACGCTGACACACGCACACAGGCGCGCATACAGGCATGCACACACACATACACTAAAAGTTCTACAAACTGAACAAGTAATGCGCTGCAGTACGTGTGTCTATACTTTGTGTCAAATGTAAACGGTTGGCTCTGCATCGCTAACTTACCTCTTTGTTTTCATCACGACTTGGGCACATGTGAGTCCAACACAGTGTTGCCAACTCCTCAGTAAGGAAAGTAGCTATTGGCTGTCCCAAAAGTCGCTAGAAGTCGCTAAATGACGTCATCGCCTAATTTGCATAATTTGCCATTTGCAAATAACTGTAACGGACGCTGTAGGAGAGAGGAATAAGGTCGTGGGAGAGACAAAAGTGAGTAAAAACACCCTAAATATGTTTAGAACTACAAATGTACAAAAATAATTTCAACATTAACAACATTTAATGATTTTAATGCTTTGTCTAGATCCACATTACACACATCAGTTTTGTCCTGTATTGTTAAATGTTATAACAGCAAATGTAATCAAAAGATTGTTATGTAGGGTGAAATTGCTAGCTCTACAACCAACCCTCCTCCTTTATCCGGGCTTGGGACCGGCAAAGTGACCCAAACACACAAGTGAGACACACTCTGGCAGAGTTACTTAGGTTTATTTTTGTAAGTTTTTTTTTTTTTTTCATAGTTTGGCATAACAAATGATTTAATGTGACCCACTACTGAGAGAAAACAGAGTCACGGACAGAGCTGCGGCGGATGGAGTGGGGGGTAGTGGGGGGTGGCGGTGGTAGGAGTGGCCGGGGAGCTTTGGATGTGTGGTGGTGGTGGAGCTGAAGTTCAGTCTGCAGCAGCCTGAAAACTTCCTGTGATTTTGAGTCTCCTCTCTCTCTCTCTGCTCCGCCCATAGACTGTAGCTGGGACTGCTGCGCAAGGCTACTGTGAGACTGGCCGCCTGTAAGTGCTTTGGGACGGGGGAGGGGCTCACGTTGAGGACAGCAGAACAATACGTGCTTCACGAGTCTCCAAAACACCAGATAAGTCGCCAAAACACCAGATAAGTCGCCAATAACACCAGAAAAAGTCGCTAGATTTGTCGCTAGTCGCTTTTTTGAAAAAAAGTCGCTATAGGGGTCTGAAAAGTCGCTAAATCTAGCGACAAAGTCGCTAAGTTGGCAACACTGGTCCAACAACCCAAAGCATTAGCATACAGCACCGGCTCCACACGGAGTCAGGGTGCGTTCACAGACGGGGGAAACCGTGGGAATTTTTAGCTTTTGCCGGAAAAAGTGCGGAAGATTCTCAAGATTAACATTATTACATTGCCGTCTTCCGAGGGGGGCACTGGGGGTGGCAAGGATATATTTAGAGGTGGCAGTGGCCACCCTGGCTACCCCTCTGGCTCCGCCACTGGCTCAGTGGCAAGTAAAAACACAACACATGTCAATGAATTAGTTACTGATGTGCGAGTCCGCAGAATACTCTCGATAATCAAAGGAGTGAGTGAGACACAACGGTGAAGCAATATCTTGGAAATGAATAGGCCTGCTTGTCAGAAATAGTCCGGAGTAGGAGGCCCACACATAATTGCATTTTTAAAATCTCATACATGACAAAATAAAGGTCTGATATTTTTATTTGTCAGTTCACATCTATTGTGTAAATCATACATTTGGTGAAAGTTCCAATCCCAGCATCCCAATAAGTTCACCAGAAAGTTCATTTATGACCGATTTGGTAAATTACCACACCATCTTATTACATAAAACGATGAGCTGAAATACATGAACATAACAAAAGGCAATTCATGTTGGGGAAAAAGTGGTTTAGAATTCGGTGTTGAATGTAGGCAAACTGCAGCATAATGACAATTAGGTTGTTAAAATGAAATATATTCAAAAACAGTTCGTGATTTTAAATAAAGTAACACATTTTACAAGCCTGGTGTAATGCTCAGCCAAAATCAATCATTTTGCAGTTAATAATAGGGTAGCTAAAGAAGATTTTTGGATTTCTTACAAGCCAGGATTGAATTAGAATGCCGTTATGAACATGCTGTAGCCAGAAGGAAAAGTTAAGGAACTGTAGTTTACTTCAGACCAGTTAAAAACATTGTGGAGTAAAAATACCAAATGAAGTAAAAGCAAGAAGCATCATTGTGAAACCTGTTAAATGTGTTCTTCACTTCCCACCACATAAAACTGCTGTATTTTATAAACAATTGGCACTCGCAAACATCTTATCCTATGCTTAATTTCTATTTGTGCAATAAAAAATGTCCTAAAATTGTCCATTCCACTGGAAAGGGAATCATGCGGATCTGTGGTCGAGTTTTTGCCGTGGATATGAAAACTACACTTATAAAATGCAAACTAAATAGATCAAACTTCATACTTGCCAAGTTTTGTATTGGATTTATCTTTCCTGTTGGAATCTGTGCAATCGAAAAGTGGAACACTTTCTTACTGAGTAGAAACAGGAATTCCCTGTGGGGATCACTTTGTCAGAACAAAAATTAATAAAACATGTACGTGAACTTCTTTTTGTAGGTCTTTCATTGATTTAATCAGTAAATTCTAATTCATTGCTGGAATAAAAACAGAAAAGTAATTCAAACTCCCGTACAAAAAAATGTGCAAAATAATAAATGTGCAAATAAATACGATTCAAATAATCATACAATCTCATCCCTCAACATAGCAATGACTATAACTGTAAAGCATCACTTCACAGTATAAAACTTATCTATCTACACACCTAAGAAGTTTGCATCAACATATGCAATGTTTTGTAAAAGAATGCTGTCTTCGACATAAAATGCCAATGTCAGTCTAGTTTCCCAGACAGTTAACCGCACCAACTCAAATACCTAAATGTGGCGACGGAACCCTGAAGTGATTCAGCACAAGGAATGGTGTCGTGTCCATCTTGACTTAAGTTATTCTCTTACGACAAGAAATCAAACTTGGCTCAAGCTGCAGTCTGCTCTTGCAAGTCACGAATAACTAAGAATTAGCAGCATTTTCATTGCTTGGTGAACTGGGGGAAGAGGAGGAGGATGAAGATGATGGGGAGAAAGTCATTCCCGATAATCCTGGTGGATCGGTGGCTGTGTTCTGACCACTAAGACTTTTCCTGCACACCGGGCATGTATCATGCTGCAAGAATTAAAAAACAAATATCACATTGTTCAAATTATTGCGCATTTCCTGTTTTGTTGTATTCTTTAATTTACATATTTTTTATTTATAATGGGACGGAATAATTAGATGGTAAATCCATACCTGTTCCAGCCACGGTACTATACAGTCATTATGAAATAAATGATTGCATGGTAGTTGTCTGACACTCTCTGAAACACTGTAGTCTTCTTTACAAACTGGACACTCTAAACTTGCACCTGAAGAGAGAATGTATAGACATAGATTCAAATGATCACTATGTGCATCCACAGAGTGTGGGAAAGTCTTTACCAACGTGGTCTTCTGTTATGGAAATTGTCGGTAAACTTTTTATTCTTTCCCTGTCAGCTGGTGGAGGTCCTGTATTTTCGAACTGGTTCAACAACTACAACAAAAATAAGAGTTTAAACCACAAAAATAAAGTTTTTGTTTAGCTAAAAATTAAAATGCAACATACAACATTCCAAAAAGATAATCTTTATTTTGTTTAATTGGCCACTACGAGAATAAACATTTTAAACTATTACAACTTAAGTCCAAGGCAGGAAAGGAGCCAGTGGTAAGACTTGAATACAGTATTTGTACTTCATTAAGGTTTTCTTATAATATTCTCACAATGTGAAGGGTAGAGTTGAAGTTGAATGTTTTACCGTATTTCTCGGATATACAGTGTAGTATTCGGCCCCCGTGAACCTTTCAACATTTCGCCACATTTCAGGCTTCAAACAAAGATATACCATTTTAATTTTTTGTCATGAATCAACAACAAGTGGGACACAATCAGGAAGTGGAACGAAATTTATTGGATAATTTAAACTTTTTTAACAAATAAAAAACTGAAAAGTGGGGCGTGCAATATTATTCTGCCCCCTTGCGCTAATACTTTGTAGCGCTACCTTTTGCTGCAATTACAGCTGCAAGTCGCTTGGGGTATGTCTCTATCAGTTTTGCACATCGAGAGACGCTGATTCTTGACAAAAAAAATAATTTTTATATCTTTATGTTTGAAGCCTGAAATGTGGCGAAATGTTGAAAGGTTCAAGGGGGCTGAATACTTTCGCAAGGCACTGTAAGTCGCAGTTTTTGTCTTAGTTTGACTAAGCAACTTATACTCTCAAGCGACTTAAATTATAACATTTTATATTTCATTTACTTTTGGAGTTTGCAGAGTTATTCAGAAGTGACACAGAGGAAGAAGATTTCATTGGATTTGGTGATTAGGAGTGACACTGATTCTTTGGGAAACTTGTAGCATGTTCTATATGCAAAAAATATTTGAATGACTCTAATATGTTACGTTAACAAACCATGTTCTCAGTACGTAAAATGCGTCATAAAACGCACTTATTCAGCCTGTTGTTCTGTATTCTATTCCTTTTAAGATGAAATGTCTATTCTCTTGGTGTTGGATTTTATCAAATAAATGTCCCCAAAAAATGTGAGTTAAACTCTAGTGTGATTATGTTTTTTTTCCTTCTTTATGATGCATTTTTGGTAGGTTTGATTTATACTCCGGAGCAACTTCATTCATTCATTCATTTTCTGCCCCTTTATTAGTCCATTTCTGGGTAGGGGGGGTGGCACCCAATGCAGAGCAACTTATAATACGAAAACTATGGTAGTCAGAAACTGATCGGTAGGCGCATATTTTCACTTTCATTTGCCAACTCCAATGTTCTGCGGTAGAAATGCATATGACTATGCAGCAGTTGGGTTCTGCTGCTGTGTGTTTGTTATGACTGTAGTATCAGCTTTTACTATAGTTAAAACAACATAATTAGTGGGTTATGTTGATGATGACTCGGCTGTAAGCAGTGCATCATGGGGGAAAGGTAGGCTAAGGTATAAAAAATGGTTCTGCTTCTGAGCATTGTTGCAACGACAAGCTACAGCATGTGAATATGTGTGACAAAAATGTCAAGATTTTTGTTATTATGTATCTTTGCTTTTGTGCTTCTGAATCACCTTGATCAGATCAAGAAGCATCTGGTCAAAGTGATTCTACTGAATGAGAAACAGGATTCCTACACTTTCTACAACTTTTTTCCGAGAAGAGAGATATGGGATTTACTACTATTGTAATAAAGTAGTACAAATACAAAAGTAACATTCTCATGGAACTAGGACTTTAAAGTTGAAATGTTTGAAGTTTATCTCATGCCAGCTCTTTTTAATATTTGTTTTTTGAGATAAGCTTAATGCTCCGTAGTACCTAAGGCGTACCTGAGTAATAATGGCATCTAGTCCATTGGCACCCCAGGCATAGTCCATTGGGTTTGAATGGAGCATGCCCCTAATAAGGATACAACCCACATACTATTAAAAACCAACAATACCAAATCAGTGCTGATCTTGAGTACTTACCACGGTCCCATTCCAATATTTGGCATTGCCGTAGGTGCAATAATTCCATTTACTAACTGCTGAATAATTCTGTAATCAAAACCATGGTAAAGTTAAGTTTGTCCCATGGGGAAGAAGATAACGGGTAAGGTAAAAACATGTTTTTTACTCTCACCCTTCCAACGTGGGCACTCCTTCGTGGCGCATACCCTGGCGTCGAGTCCCATGCCGTCCACGTGGTTGCCTTGCTCCGTATCGTTGCCGTGATGCCATTTCTCGTTCTCTTCTGTTTTCGGTTTCTCTGTTGTCCTCTTGGGGATGCCGTGTCCGGAGATCAAAGTTTTCATCAAAAATTCCAAGGGCAAATGGACCATAACCAGAGGGAAATGTGAAAAGGTGTTGTGGATCCATATGCTAATGTTAATAGAAAATTTTAATTACTTAGAGATATTTTTTACTTAAAATGGATTTAAATAAATGAAATATACTACTAACCTCAAAGGCAGGTCGATTTGGCTCACTGAAGGAAGAGGATGAAGATGCATTTGATGATCCATTTTCAGTACTGATCAACAATGTTCAAATATTAAATAAAAGGAGTATTATTATTATGTACTTTGCCTCAACACATACCTTCTTTCTTCAGGTAATTCCTCTATGAACCCAGACTCGCAGAGTGGACAAGTGTAATCCTATGAGACATAAATCATCAATTGACTTGAGTAATTTGAAATTCCATGACAGATATGTTTTTTTGTTTGCAAAATCAACATGTAAATTTGTATGAAAGTGCTGCACAGAACTGACATAGCCAATATATATTACAATTTAAGATGTAAGGATTAATTGTCTATGAGATTATGAAGTCATTAAAGAAGCCTCCTGTAAACAAATAAGATGACAACAATGTGAATTAACACGCATGCCCTTCCCTGTGTGAACGATCGACATGATTCATTTTGGTGCCCATACAGTACCCATGAAGCCAGTTTTGTTTTGTAGCGATTTGCGAGTCGTATAAAAGCTGGGCCTGGATATGTTTTAACAAATTTCGAGGTCTTGATCCTTTTAATGAATTAGCATTATATAATAAAATCAGATCCGTTTAGTGTCCGACAGGGAAACATCTCAGACAGAACAACATTTATGGAGAAGCATTTATGGGGAAGCAATGAAGAAATGAGAGCAGCCGTTTCGTTATAGTTAATATGCACTGATGTGCCCGGGATCTTTGTGCGTACTTGTTTGTATTCCAATTATTATTATAATTAAGACGGATTAACAAAAAACTAAAATCTTATTCAAGAATATATTAAATTCAAAGGTGATTTTCAGTAGTCTGGCTATCTGCGGTGAATGACACTACTGTTACTGATCATCAGAGGCTACCTTATTCTTTACTCTTTCCATTCTCTTCAAAGAAAGATTTTGCATCGTGCGACTACTTTGTGTTTTTGTTTTGACTTGTTTTTTTCTTAATGGCACACTGTTGACACATGTGGCTACATTTAGTAGTATTCACCGCGGTTATCCAATTGTAAATTTTTATGGATGAAAGTACACATCTGTGTAACCAATTTAAAATGCTCTAAAGCAGAACTGAGAATGCATTACATGTTATACTGTTAATTTCTATCACGGCGTCTATCAGCAGGCTAATTAGCTAGCCCAAGCAAGCTGCTCAGCAAACTGAATAGCAAATCTGGTGGGCCTCAAATTAAGTGGTAAAATTATATCTAAGTAAAACCGGACACTGCTAAATAATGGCTTTAGTTTTACCGGTAGATGTGGAATAATCTCTGCTGAACAGCGGTGACAAAAAAACCGGCTGGGTCGTGGGGGAGCTTCTGCCATTTTTAGTTCTGTCGTATCGAAAGAACGGAGAGCAACTAGGATCAAACATCAACTGCGCAAAGCAAGCAAAGGAGGTGAAGTTTACGACACTTCTGCCAATTATTGCACGTTTAACACCACAATATATGTTTTGCACTAACATTTGTCTACATTTCCACAGGTAAAAGGGTATTGTTGAATTTATATTTTTTCTCGGAAGTTGCAGCTGTTGTGACCCATGACGGAAGCCTGTCGGACCGAGGAGCTCAAGCCCGGCTATTCACGGTGTTTCTCTCAGATCTCTTCTTCACTCGGATTATGGACTCGAACAATTCAGGTAAAAGCATTCCATGCACATTAAATGGTACGAATAAAAACAATGATGTGACCAAGTTACTCGTATTCTAAGGATATAATTGAATTCAAGCCATTGAAATAGCATACGATGTTAGCTAACATGTTAGCCTAACCTCGGGGTCTCAGACTGTTTCCGCTTTTGAAAACCGTAAAACCATAAATAGCAGAGGTACTCTTTCCGCAAAAAAAGACATTTACGATGAAAAGACTTGGAGGGGGAACAGTTATTTGCCTACACGTTTCAAAGCATTGTCCAATAATGGCAGAGAGGTACTCCTTTTCGCAAAAAACGACATTTACAACGAAAAGACTTATTTGCCTATACATTTTAACGCATTGTCCATATAGTAGTGAATTAAAACGGGCATCTAATTACCGGTAAACAAACATACTGAACATAAGTTTCCTAAATCTTTTGGGAAATTACAAAGAGTGGTAAGCTACTTGTAAAGTTACAAGTAGTACATCTCTCCCTGGCCTTGTAATATTAACATTCGATGGTTATGAATGGCATATAATGGGTTATAATACTGTCATATGTTCAATTATATGTATTGTCTTACAGGACGTGGAGGCTGGAAGCCCCAGACAGCAAAGTTTAAACAGGAGATGAATATCATGCGCCAAGAAAAACTCATAGCACAGAAAAAACGAGAAATTGAAGAAAAACTGGCACGACAAGCACAGATGAATGCAAAGACCACTGCTGTTAAAGTTCACAACAAGTCCCTGCCATCAGTGTAAGTAGTTCACTCAAAACATGCAACAGTATAAATGCAGTGAGAGAGTTAATGTGGTGGTCATGGCACAGACCAGATTCGTTAACGAATGTATAGTGACTTGTGTGGAGCTCAAAGTTCCTTCAAGGCGCATTGCAAATGCATTCCATTATTATTATTAATATCGGTACAAAATCAGTTCTATCCATTGATTTCAGCTGGAAAATTATCCTTAAAATTGTGTGAAACAATTACAACCATACTATACCTTTATGGGAAAAGGGTATGTTTCATGAAACGGGAAGCTGAAACAAACATAATGGTCCCCATCTTGTTTTGTGTTTTTAGTGGTTCCACTTCTCCCGATTCGTCATCAAACAAATTTGCTAATGATGGAAGTTTTTTGCAGCAGTTTATAAAGCTGCACAAAGATAAGTCTTCTAATCCTGGTTAGTTTATTAATTCTATTAATCAACTTTTTAAAACATTGTACAATTGGTTAAAACCTTTATAATCATTGTTGTTCATGTATTTTTAGATTCTCCTAATGACACGAAAAACACAACCGCCTCGTCATCAGTGGGAAATGTACAGCAAAAAAAGAGTATTCTCTTTGGCAAGCGGCCAGGGCTTGGAGTCAGTAGCATGATAAGTCAATACAAGAACTACTCTCAGTCTAAGAAATATCCTATTCTGAGCCACAGACCAAGTGCCTTTTGCTCATCAGAGGGTGAAGAAGAAGATGATGAATCAGATTACTCCAGATTTTTAGAGATTAAAGGTAATTCGGGGGTCTGGTCCTATTCAGAGTAGTTTACGACCCTCCATGGCATGTATATTTCATTACAACTTCTCAATACTGATGTGGCATAGCTGGCTTACACCTGGCAGTGTTTTTGGTGATTTAAAAACAATGTTCTGATAGCCTGCTTAAAGTTTCTCCTCCAGAGGATTCTGATACCCGACTCATTATTGACAAGATGGCCTCTTTTGTGGCTGAAGGAGGACTTGATCTTGAAAGAAGAGCTAGAGAGGACTACAAAGAAGACCCAGTTTTCTCGTAAGTGTATCTGTTTTTTTCACTATTATAACATTGAAAAATAAGAGTTTTGCATTAACAGTCATGGTTGTTTATGTTTCTAAAGATTTTTATATGATAAAGGCAGCAGTGACTATCTGTACTTTAAAAGAAAAGTTGCAGAACTTCAAAGGAATCTATCAAAACCTAACAATACTTTTGAGTGTGGTAAGTAGGAAATTATTATTTTTTAAATAGTTTGCATAACCTATGTAATTGTGCTACAATTTTGAAAGTTGAATTTGTGTGTTTTAATATTGACTTATTATTGATTTTACTGCAAATGGTAAATAAATTGAATCTTTTAATCTTGAAAGATTAGTTACTACAGTAGTTTAGAGCATGATAAACTCTGAAAATCAGTTCATATGTCATTAATGTTTCTGGATTCATCTAAATGCCAGCACATTTTATGCTGGTTAAAACATTATCAAGACATTTGCACATCATTTCTCCTTCCTTGTTTTATACTCTCATGGCTCTAGAATGGTGTGTGAGAGCCAGTTCAATACGATGCAGTATTTGAATGTGAATAGAGTCCCAGTACTGATAGGATGCTTAAAGTCTCCCCCCCAGTGGACCTCGAAACTCAAAAAGTAGCTGAGAAGCTTGCTAGATTTGTGGCAGAGGGTGGAGCAGAGGTGGAAGCCATTGCTGTGGACCGTAACAAAGACAACCCTGCCTTCAGGTTAGTTGGCACCTAACAAATATAATACATATAATACAATCAAGTCACATTTGTGCAATATGTGTTACTATTTCTCCTTCAGTTTTTTATATGAGCATCAAAGTCCAGCTTATCGCTTTTATAAGGAGAAGGTAAAGGAGTACAGTGGTACAGCTTTTCAGCCCCAACAAGCAGTAACTACTCCTCCAGCTGCCTTGAATTCTCCCACTCCCAGCATTGAAGCCCCACCTGTCAAACGGAAGAGAAAAAGCCGTTGGGGTTCTGAAGACGATAAAGTTCCGCTGCCGATTCCATCTATTGTTATTCCAGAGGATGTAGGATTTCCTCAACTCAATATACCTTCACTCTCCGGTATGATAATACTACAAAATACATGATGAGTTAGATAAATAAATAATACCTTTTTATTGTAACTTGTAATATTTGATAGAGCAATGTTTTCATGTAAGCCTTGTGACACCACATAAGTTCCATATTCTCCCTTAATATCTTGATGCACAATCACCTTCATCTGAAACTTTTAATAGAAAGCAGAACAATTGTGTTTTTTTAACCCTTGGTATAATTACTCTCAACTATTCTCCACTTACAGCCCAAGAGCTGAAAGGTCTTGGTTACAACAAGGGAAAGCCTGCTGGCCTGGTTGGAGTCACTGAATTATCAGAAGATCAGAAAAAACAGATAAAAGAACAGCAAGAGGTACAAATTATGCTCAGATAAACTATGACACAAATCCAACCTGAAAATTGTTGAAAATGCATGACACTTATTTGTACTATTTCATTAGATGCAAGAAATGTTCGATATGATAATGAAACACAAGCGAGCAATGGCAGACATGAAGGTGATGTGGGAAAAAGCAGTGCGAGAGCATCAGCACGAATATGATAGCGATGAAGAAATTGATCAAAGTCAGGGCACCTGGGAACATCGTCTAAGGAAAATGGAAATGGAGAAAACACGCGGTGAGAATTATCATACTTTTTGTTTTGTGGAAAAACAATTTCAAACTTTTTGTCCTTTTCAGAGTGGGCAGAGTCGCTTACTGAAATGGGTAGAGGAAAGACCTTTATTGGTGATTTTCTGCCTCCGGATGAGCTAGATAAATTTATGGAAACCTTTAAAGCACTGAAGGTTTTTAATAATGTCATTATTTTAAAAGTGTATTTATTTCTTTTTTGTATGTGGCCTAAATTATTAATTTGTGCCCATAGGAGGGCCGTGATCCTGATTACTCTGAATACAAAGAATTTAAGTTGACAGTGGAAAATCTTGGTTTTCGAATGTTAATGAAGATGGGCTGGAAAGAAGGAGAGGGTCTTGGAAGTGAGGGTCAGGGAATTACAACACCAGTGAATAAGTATGTAACATTAAATATTTTCTAAAAAATAAAAAAGGAATCCATAATGCTATCTAGCTTTTCGACCACTACGTTATAAGACTTCTGTATGTTTCATTTTAGGGGAACTGTAGCTGTAGATGGAGCAGGTTTAGGAGTTGATCGACCAGCAGAGCTCACAAAGAATGATGATGAATATGATGCGTTTAGAAAGAGGATGATGCTGGCTTACCGCTTCAGGCCTAATCCACTGGTAATGCATTCTCTATATCTGTATGAATAAATTAAACTTTTGAACTTCAATAATTACTTACATCTTATTTTCACAGAACAACCCTCGAAGACCGTATTACTAAGTTTAAGGAATCTCATCTTATCATGTCTTGTTCTTATGTCTTAATGTGCAATATACTTTGACTGATTTATGCATCTGTTTGTTTTATTAAAACATTTGTTTTGTTTCTAATTGCCATCAAACAATTCTCCACTTTTCACATTAAACTTTAAGTCGTGTGTTTGTGTCCAGTATTTTTTCACCCTACATGAGTTGGCAGCAGTTGCTCACATGTTAGGAAAATATGTAGGATGACCATGCAACGTAAGTTAACATAATATTTATGTGTGAACCCCATAGATGTATATACCTTTATTATACTTCTAAAATGAAGCTGCACGTGCCTCGTCCTTCCCATCCCCAAAAGTTTGACGCAGTAACGTAAGGGCTGTCAGTGAAGGGGAGGTAAACAAGATGGCGACAACCTGAGTAGCAGAGCAAAGCGAAGATTCAGAAACAAAGTTGGCATTCTCGGCTCCATCACAATCTTTTGGACTGACTGACACCAACGTCAAACATCCAAAGGTCGATATATATCTATCACCATACTTAAGTTAGCTGAAGCTTTCAAATGTATTCCAAGAGACTCGGCTGCTAGCCCTGCACAGCCCGGTTAGCTTATCCAAACTGGCTGAGGTTTATTTGGATGGCGACTTATAAATGTATGCATGAATGCGAAGACTATTGTTAGTGTTTTGTTACACAATTGCTTCAGAATAGCATTATCTATACCCGAAAAACACATGTCGCAACCCTTTTTGCACTGATTTAGCCGGCGACAGCTGGGGAAGTTTGCTATTGCTAGCTAATGGTAACGCCAAAGCGCAATTTGGTTAGCTTCTGTTTGTCTAGAGGCACCAAATGCGACAACAAAACGTCTTAAGTCCAACTACTTTGTGAAACTGCGATAAGGAAGGCATCGGTCATTCAGCTACTGAAGCAGTGCGGGTGTATTCTATTGAGACGTAATTTAAGCTATTCACTCTATTTTGTATTTTTTATTTTTTTAAACCTGCTTTCACTTTCTAAGGTGATCAAAGCAGATTTTAACGCATCATTGATATGTAACATTTTGTAATGGAAACTGAAATTCTGTATTTTGTGTTGCCAGGTACATGTCAAGAATCATCCAGTATGACCTAAGTGGTCAATGCCCCATATGGCTGGGCTGACTTTACGATTGTATTTTTGTTAGTATCCAAACTAATGCATCAGCACAGCAAGTTCTGAAGACGATGGAGCATGAACTCTTGAAAGAAATACAGTGCTGCATGATCTTAAAGCAATGTTTTATCTTTTTATCAACATAATTTCTCAAGTAATACAGTGATAGTGTTAGACAGGCTAATTTAATCTGATCCTTTAGACATAACAAGAAGGATGCACACCTGGTGAATCTGTGCTGAGTCTGACAGTCTGACCTGTCGATTCTGCCTTGTTTTTAGTTTCTGGATGTTTACATACTGGCACCCACTTTGGCAACAGTGTTGTGTATTATATATCATAGTGGAACAATAAACAGCAGAACGCAATATTTTTTGCACAGAAGAATCTAGAACAGTCCATCATGAGCACTGGTGAGCTGCACCACCTTGACTATCTCAATGAAAATGAGCTGATGGATACTTTTATTCACCGTATTGACTCCACTGAGGTGATCTACCAGCCACGTCGAAAAAGGGCCAAGCTAATTGGAAAGTACCTTATGGGGGATCTACTGGGTGAGGGGTCCTATGGTAAAGTCAAAGAGATGTTGGATTCAGAGACACTGTGTCGCAGAGCTGTTAAGATACTGAAGAAGAAGAAGCTAAGGAGAATTCCCAATGGAGAAGCAAACGTCAAAAAGTGAGTAAAGTGCAACATTTTAGCAAAAATCTATACAAATGAGGTGTTGGAGTAAAAAAAAACCCGACACACTGCACATAATCTCATTCTTCACCACTGAATTTAGTACATTAGAAGAGGTGTTATTTTTTTAAGATGTTTCATTCAGCCTTTCCACTGTTTTTTTTTTTTATTAGCGAGGTAAGTACTTCACTCAGAGCCTCTGGTGCATAGATGGAAATTATGAAAATGCCTGTAAGAAACAGAATTTAGGAATTGAATCAACATCCAGTGGTTTGAAAACTATTGTACTTGTTGTACTAATACATCTTAAACTTTTGCACATATTGTCATGTTTACCGCCACATACATGTATTAGTATTTTCAAAGAACACAGGAAATGTGTGAGTCTATTATAGACAGAAGTTAGTCTGGACTCTCGGGCATGGGCTCATTTTAAACAGGACTACATGTTACTAGTGGTTGGGCAGAAACATAATTGGTAAAGAAAAGTATTTTCTTTATGTACAATATGTACAATAGATCTGGCATGCGGCTCCTGTTCGGCGACCCCGCTCCCATCTCTGTCTGGAGTGAGAGGACAATTGCCCAAAAAAAATAAAAAATGTAAACAGTTTTGTGATCCTTGTCTGTGAAAGGCGGTATATAAATAAACATTACCTACTTACTTACTTACTTTATCCATCATCTGTTCCTCTTTACATTTTATCAAAGCACTGTTGCAACCAGAGATTTTACATACACGGCAACTTTCACTTTCAATTTGTTGTAGTCTAACGCTGCTTTCAGACCACCAACACTGAAACGCTGAAGCCTCGCTCACCAGACGCACATTCTCTAGTTTTCAGACGCAGGGGTCTTCAGACCAGAAGTCCTGGCGCGCCGGAAGTGGCGGAAGTAGCAGGCGGGCTTTGATGCTAACAGAGTTCAGTTAGCCGCTTCTTGTGTAAAGATCTTCTCCAATAATGCAGCTTTGCAGGGTGTCTGTGATCATAGACCTTCTACAGACTTTATATAACAGTAGTGTGTGTTCACGGAGGTGTGCAATAAGTTTATTTTATTATTAAACGGTACTTCTGCATCGGCGAACACGCTCAAAGCAGTTTCATAAAGTTACAGGAGCATGAAAAATCATATGTTAACAAGCACTATATCCCCCATTGTCAACCCTGGTTTAGTCCTGATGTAGCTCCTGTTTTGGCCGTTTACGAGTATTTTCAGTCTGCTCGCTCAGACCACTGATGACCACTTTGCGGCTCTCTGATTGGTTGCTGCACGAGCGTCCCGGGGAAAGGTTAGACAAAACATCTCCTGCGTGCGTCGATTTTCCGCTCCTGCTCCTCCCCTTCAACTTTGCCGCGCAGTCCGTGCATCTCTACTGAGCAGTCTGCGTGCATTCCGAGACGCTCGGGCGGGTCCCAGCTCAAAAGTGGCCAAAATGACGTGCGCTGACATGCTTGCAATACCACCCCGGGCCGATGGGGGTGAACCCGGAATAAAAATTAGCCAATGCTAACATATAGCATTGGCGGACCTCTCGAAAACGTCTTTACAGGATGGTCCAAAAGTTGGCTCTTGGCCCAAAGCTCCGTTCCACATGTGTGTCAATGCTGAGGGGGGTGGATTTTTTTGGACCACTCTAGTTTACTTGCTGTGAATTTTTGAAGTCCCTCGTTTAAATGAATTGAGCTTGCGCCGGCTGACGCATGCGCAGATAAGTTTTTTCACAATTTTCTTGATTGCGGGACCACTCGCGGCCATTTTGGATAGCTCCAGTTGAGCACATTTTTTGTTTGAACGGCAGAGATGGGCGTGACTCTGTCCGTTATATATTTATAGTCTCAGGTTTTGACGCTCGAACGCGCGTCACCATTGACTCTGCATTGAAAGCCGACGCAACGCATGATCCGGTCTGAACGCAACGTTAGCATATTCCGTGTTTTACTAATGAAAATTATTTGACAAACTACTTTGTTTTCTGATTTTTCAGAGAAATTCAACTGCTTAGAAGACTTCAACACAAGAATGTGATTCAATTAGTAGATGTTCTCTATAATGAAGAGAAGCAAAAAATATATCCTTTAGTTTTTGTGTAGGCTTGTGTTAGGATTTAAGCAGACAGAGACGGATCGTGGTGTGCCAAACTCTGGAAGTTTATTTAAGTTTCTCTCAAGTTCCACTAGTTTACTCTGTTTCTTTCCCTCAGACAGAATAAAGGCAGTACATAGTTTATATAGTCATTGTCACGTCACACATCGAAAGACATACGTGTCACAAAGAGACAGTCACATCATAGTCATAACATGGAGTCCTTGTAGAGTCCTTGTACAGTCCTGCACGTAGGACATATTGCTATCTAACACTAATACCCTCCCCTTTGATCACATAATCACATGTGATCACTCAAATCGATCAATCAATAAAGTGGAAAAAGAAAAAAAAAAAATTCCAAAAAAAAACTTCCAAAAATTATTAAAAACAAAGAAAATGTATGCATTAAACTCATAATCATCAAATCAATATCAGTGGATTTTATCCTCTATCCTGGGAAAAAATAAACAAACAAAAATAAAGTAAATAAACAAACAAAAAACAAATCAAAAATAAAAACAAACAAAAACTATTGGACACACAAGAACTCAGCAGATTCAGTCAAAACACAGACAAAAACGAGCTGAGTCTCAAATTTGAAGCTAATTTCACTTTTATTACTCTATACTTTTATTCTAATGCTAATTGTTTACACTACACTTCACTTATTTCACTGTATTATTTTCACTTTTTAATCTTAGACTGTGTACTTTACTTTTACTAATCACTATAGTTTAAACTATTCTAATCTATTCACAAATATGTTTGCATATTTGCTTCTATTGAGCCATATTCTTAAACATACATTTTAATCTAATAAATCTCTCTTTAGTTTTACACTCTCATTATCAGTGGCATATTATCAGTGGGATTTTGCTCCATGTCTATTCTACATTCTCAGGAATAAAACTGTGAACACAGTAAGGCAAATGGTCAACATTTACACTTCTATAGTGGTCAGTGATTTATTACTTTTTATTATCTAAAGATATTATTGTCAGGCATTTGGGATGAATGTACATCTTTAATCAAATTAGTATTATCCTAATAGTAGCTAATTAGGTTTGGGGTTGGGGTCAGTTATTCTACAATGGTGTTTGTGCTGGAAACTTCTCAATATCTAAATATCTACTATTGTGTTTTTGGGCTATACACAAATACATCAAAATGCTTTTAAATGCTTTTGAATCTCTGTTGGTTCTAATCTATCTCATTGATCTAGGCATTAATCTAGGCTACACTCATATGGACTTTTTGTATTGTCAACATTCACTCATGTTTGAACACAAGTGAATTTGGAAGGTATCTAATAAAACTGTACATAAAACTGTAAGTAACTTTATCTACTTTTGAAGTAAATGTTTGTGAAATGGTCCCTTTACCATTTGATATTAGCACTGGCTAGAAATAATCTCTTTTTTTTGAAAGCATCTATGGTTGATGTATTTATCTATTCCTATTTTTACTCTATTTTTTAACTCAAAAGCTCGGCTGCAGCTTGAGCAAAGGCATATTTCTAATTTGTGACTTCTGTCACTTTTAATATCTCTAACATACTCTGATTCTAATATTATAGCTGATCTATCAAAAGATAACATTGTAGGGTACTATTTTAACTCTTATGTGGAAATGTGTATGAAAAACAAAGGAAGTCAAATTCTACTCTTTTACTACTATTTAACATCTACTAAAACGCTACAATACTTATACTTTATCATTTTCAAACATTTTAACTGTTGTTCAGTCTCCCAGACTAAAAAAGTCAAAGTTTTTGTCTGTCAGATGTCTGAATACTTAACATGTATATTGCATTTGGTCACAGGTTGTGGTTCTGGTTGTAGCAATAGCATCAGCAATAGACGTTTTCATTGGCTGGTTCTTGTTCTGCAAATGGCTGTGTCCAATAGATCATCAGATGTCCAGAAGCTAGGGACAAACAAAAACAAAAGAAAGAATCATGAGTATCTCTCTCATTTAGCACTCATCAATGTATGATTTCAAAAATATAAACATCACTCCCCAGTTTTTCTCTCCAAGGTCCTCAGGTCCTCAGGTCCTCAGGTCCCCTGAGGGTGAGTCTCAGTCGTCATCAGGTCAGGTCATCTTGGACATCAGTAGGGTCCAAGCCATGGTTCTGGTCTCTCCAGTTGGACATCAGATCTCCAGATACAGTCTTTTCACTTGAAGCACATCAGGTCATTTGCGATGCACTTCTGGTCAATGGTGCAGTGTCTCAGTTCCTGTACACAGCTTGTTATGCAATAGTTACTCTCTATGGTTAAATCACTTTGATTCTACTTTAACACAATTTCTATTCATGCTGTTGCTAATGTCTCTCAGACAAAAGCAAGCGCAGTTTACTTCTCTAATTTGTGTTTTTATCAGATCTAATTCTAATCAATGTAATTACTTCACACAGTACAAAATCAAAACATCAAAAGTGTCAGGACAGAGGTCAATTAAGTCCATGACAATATAGAATTCAAATGAACATTTCTGGTCTCAAAAAATATACTGATTCAAATAAAGATTCAAGTGATAGACAAATAAAAATATGACCCCTCCCACAGTGTGCCAGAGTCTGAAAAACAATCCTTGAAACAGCCAATTTAAAAAAACAATAGATATCAGTATGCGAATGAGATTGTTTTTTCTCTCTGAAGTCAAAACAATTTGAGCGCTCTGGGTTTTCCCAAGCGCTATGTAAATAAAGATTACTTATTCTCTTACTAATGATGACATTTTAAAACCAGAAACTAAAGAAGTTATCAAAACAACAATTATACTCAAAACAAACAACCTTTTAAACTTTAAAACATGTATTATATACTTTTGTACTGTGTGATTAATTATCTATGCGTCCTTGGGTTTCTTGAAAGACGCCATGAAATGAAATTATGAAAAATCTCTATAAAAATGAACATTAATTTGTAAAAACATTTAAAACAAAACTTGAAATCAAACAAAAGATTTAGCTCCAGCTAAACTGGATTTGGTTCAATAAATAAAACTCAATTGTGCGTCGGAGCTTAACGCCTCCTCATGTCTCTGAGCAGCAGCAAGGTCACGCGTGTAGTCCAAAACAAAAACAAAAGTCACCGCTTGAATGTGAATTGGTGAATTGGGTAGTTTAACTTAATAATATAATACTTTTACACCTAATTCCTCTCTTTCTTTTTTAGACCGAAGTCTACAATCATTAATCACATTTAAACAGATTCTAATTTTAAATGTTTGAAAAAAACGGGCTTTTGGTAACTAAAAATAAAAAACTACAATGAAAAAATTCTCACAAACAGCTATGTAATATAATCAGAGATACAATCATGGACTCACAAAATAAGCAGCAGATTTAAAAAGAAAAGCAAAGCGTTTTTGTACTAATCTTGGGTTTCAAAAACATACTAATTCAAAAAACTTTCTATTCCCTAATGGTGTTTAAAAACGTTTAACTGTGTCATAACACAATGTTCAAATGGCAAATGTTAGAGCAAATTTTAACGGAATATCTACTATTAAAAGCCAAATCCTAAAAGCAAAGTAGCTCCCCTTTAAATCACAGCAGCAGCTCACAGCAGCGAGGGCGCGGGGGTTTCCTTTCAAACACAGACCACGCGCACACATACGACAGCAGAAAAGACGACAGAAGAAGAACGTGTCACTATTACTTTGTTATGCCGAATATACTGATGTTTGGTTTCTTTATACTTATGTTCAGCCAAAGCTAGAAGTGATCACATTCCACACTAGTAACAAAAAGGCACTCCTTGTCTTTAACGTTTACGCTTCTATTTTATCAAAGTAGCAAACTAATTTAAAACTCAAAATCTCTTTCTAAAAAACAAAAAACAACGTTAGGATTACAGCCCTCCCTCGGCATAGCTCAACTGTAGATAAAACTCGGTAAAAAATATGTAAAAAAACGCACCGAAAGCTCTCATAGATCAACTTTAGATTACAACTCAGCATTCTCCCGTGAACTCTGTTCACTCCAAAAACAAAAACTCCCTTTTCTGTATGTAATTTAAACCGTGATCACTGAAATATTGTTGCTTATGTACTTTTGTCATTTCATCAGCCCTGAAATTCGTCAATTTCAAAGCTTTTGTAACAAGGCCTGTCCTTAACACGTTTCCCTTTTTATAATAACTTTTTATTTTTACACCATGGTTTCACTTATGGATCCCTCACTTAAATGGCCAACACTTTTCACTTATGGATCCTCACTTTAATGGCCAACACTTTCACTTATGGATCCCTCACTTTAATGGCCAACAACTTTTCACTTATGGATCCCTCACTTTAATGGCCATCACTTTCACTTTATGGATCCTATTCACTTATATGGCCTTTTCACTTATTTTGAACACAATTTAGAGAGTTCGACAGACCTCAAAAACACACCCAAATTTAGCTAGTATCCAATTATGCAGACTTTACATTTAAAACGGTGTCTGCTTCCCTTATTCTTGTCAAAGAGGTGCGCACCGGACTGTCCGAGAGTTCTGCCAACTCTTTTCCGCGTCGGAATCATTCAATTTAAAAAAACAAACAGAGAAAGTGAGGGAGCAGAGCAAGCCCATCCAAAAGCGAGCCCCTTTCAGCGTCCGCTGGGATTTTCTCCCCTTCCAGTTAAAACGTGCTGTTGCTCCACACGCCGAAAAAAAAGAAACAGAGAAAACTCCCTCAAAACAATCCAGGAGAATGGCACAACCGAGCCCGCGCATTCTCCACCAAATCTGTTAGGATTTAGCAGACAGAGACGGAACGTGGTGTGCCAAACTCTGGAAGTTTATTTAAGTTTCTCTCAAGTTC